CCTTAATACTAAACCTATAAATATATGCACATAGATCTATTTCCCTACCCTCTTATATAAATATATTTACATATGTACATGCCTTTATTTAGACCTCTATAAATGCCCTTTACCTCCTAGCTCTTTCCTCTAACTTTTTTTCGTATTTCTAAGAAGCATTTCACATGACTAAGGCTGCAAATTCTCTGGTCCACTAAATTAAAAAGCTCATACATCTTTAGTTCCAGTTCACCTCCTTCAATGTTTTCCTTAAGTTGTTTTCTATCCACCTACAGAATGAATGGGAAGCCTGAATAGGTTCAGAGACATCCCAAGTCAATTCTCAAAAGTGATCACCATAATTAATTTTTTGAAATCTCTGATATGTATAATAAAATATTAAATTAAATAATTGAAAAATAGGCCCAAGAAAACATCAAAAAATAGGAAATATTTATAGTTATAGTAAGAAAATCTGCCTTGAGCATTATGTTCTTTGAATAATTATTTTTATGGGATCAAATTGACAACTGACACTCAAAATAGTAGATAGAATCCCTAGGGGGCAGTAAACTTATGTAATGGAGGAAAACCCCATAAAAAGGGTGAGAATGGCTGTACAACTCAAAGAATGTAATCAGTGTCACTAAATTTTTTTTATTTAACCACTATATGTTTTGCTGTATATATTCTCAATAACAACACAATAAATAAAATTTTATGTACATGAGGATAAATCAAATAGTATTGCTACAAAATCATAAAATCATAGAAACTTACATTAAACCAAAATATCCAAATGCGCAGGTTTTGTTTTTTACTTATCCTCCATCTAGAGCTGTACACTTCTGAAGGCAGTGTTTGGTGGCATAGAGGGTTATTTGTTGAGCTACTAAAACAAGGTCAGTGGTTTGAACCCACCAGCCACTCTGTGGGAGAGAAATGGGGCTGTCTACTGTAAACATTTAGTCTCAGAAACCCAGAGGCAGTTTTACTCTGTCCCATAGGAATGTCGTGAGTTGGAATGAACCGTGAGTTTTGATAACCATTAACTGAAGAATTCTGCATTCTTCAATTTATACATCCTCAAGGAACTCAAATTGTGTTACTTTTCAATATTCTCTGAGTCTGGGGAACAAAAATAAGTGTGAAGTGACTGGGGCTGCAGCAGGAATGAGGCACAACTTTCTAATGAAAATCTCACATGACAGCCCTTGTTTGAGAAATGTGCAGATGCATGATCATGGTAGAGGAAAATTTCCTTGACACAACTTTCCTGGCTTCTTTTTCAATACAATTTTCTATTTTCTTATAACTTCTTAATAAGCCTGAGTGATCTTGTGTCTTTGGAATCCCAGAATCTTCTGATTTTTGCCTTGAATTTAACTGTCCCAGCAGATTCCTTTGAAAGACTGCTTAATTGACCTGGCTCTTTGAATCAGATTAGTAAGTCCCAGACTCATCCTTGGTTACAGTATATTCCATAAAACAGCCTTTATTAGCTTCAAGTTGCTTAAAGATTGGTGGAAAAATCAACTCTCTGAGTCAGCTGATCTTTGAGCAACACTTTTGACGCCCATCCAGTTGAAAGTTTGTTGAGGCCAAGATGCCAGTTTAAAATTGAGAAGGCTGAAACCTGTGAAGTCCCAACTTAAACAGTTAAGTAGTAATTCTGCAGTCTTCTTCCACCAATTTCTACCTTCCAGTTATAGTTTCTCCATTTCTCCATTTGTAGAGGTTGAAAATCTCTCTCTCTCTCTCTCTCCCCCCACCTCTCTCGGCTCATCTTTGAGGTCTTCCTGACCTTTCTCAAAACACTTGGTTTATCTGAAAACTTGTTTTATGTGGGGCAGCATTGCTGTAAACTACTTGCAAAATTAAAGATTTGACAAGATGTCCACTTAAATTTTGTTAAAATTTTTGGTATTATGAGATCTAAAAGTCATTTTTTCATGGCAAATAAAGTGCCCCCTCCACTTTTAAGATATCCTCACAAGAGAATAAAATAAATGTATTAATCACAGAATTTTTTAGCAACCATCCACTGATCCCAGAGACACACTTGAACACACTTTGTGTGGAAGAAATACATGCACGAACTAGAACTCAAACAGCAATACGTTTTTGCTTACCCTCATTATCATTTAATTCCATTTCCTCCAAAACTTTTGAACCTGTTTATATATGACAAATACTATAGATTGTATCTAGAGACTTCTTCCCCCTTCTCCAACATGGACTTAATTTATTCAATCAATTCTCTTTGAGGGTTTTTACAATGGTTTACTCCTTGTCCTTTTTCTTAGAAGTAGAATGAATTTCTGAGTCAACTATATACATGCATTTGAAAGTTAAAAAATATTGCCAAATTATCTTCCAGAACTGCTGTCCCAATTTATATTTAGGTAAAAAAGTTGAAAGTATCCTTTTCCCATATGTTTATGTATAAGTAAGTATTAATTGATCTTTTAAATCTTTGACAAAGTTATAGGTAAAAATATTTAATAGTTATATAAACTTTTATATTTTAAATTATCAGCATCTTTTCATATATCAATTGATTTTGTGTACTCATTCACTTTTTTTACAAATTGACTGATTATTTGCCTATATTTCTATTGAGGTATTTACTTTTGTCCTATTGATCTCTAAAATGCTTTCTACCTGTGGATTATTATGCATAATTTGAAATTTGTATGTAAATTATTATCTGTTACCTAGCAAATGTCCAATGTCTATTTAATTGAATAAGGAAGATTTAAATATTTCAGGTAAATTATAATCCTCTTTCCCTTTTCCCCCTCCCTTCTTTAAGTGTGAGTACAGGCAAGTAAAAATAAAGGAAAAAGTCTGGAAATATATATATATATTTATTTCTAGGTAGTACGATATTTTTCTTTTCTTTAGGTCTTTTTCTACTTTTTATTTTGTTTTGTTTTGCATAATGAATAGATTATATTTTATACTGTTACATAAACATACCTCTATTTTTCACATAATTAGTAAAGGAGAGAGAGAGACCTAGGGATAAGAAAAAAAGTAAATATTTATACATTTTCTCTTTTTTAGGAAGCAATTTGCTGGATAGATTTAGTGGTTTTCTATTGGAAATTCAGATTCCATATGTGTTTTTTGCATCTGAAGGAATTCTTAATACTCCAGAAATACTTCAGCTGTTAGAATCCAAGTAAGTTTTTTATTTCATAACTTTAACAAAGATATATATCATGATTGGCTTATATTATGCTATATATGTGACAATATTTCTCTTTGATTCAAGCCAGAAATTGTTCTATATATGAATCATGTTCCAGAGAGTTGGTGTCAATTGATACTTCTCTTCATATATATACATAGTATATTCCCTCTGGTATACATTTGAAGGGAGCATAGAGAGGCTAAATTTTGCATACTTTGGGCATGTTATTAGGAGAGACCAGTCCCTGGAAAAGACATCATGCTTGATAAAGCTGATGGTCACCGTAAAAGAAGGCCCTCAATGGGATGGATTGAGTCACTGCAAAACTGGGCTGAAACATAACAATTGTGGGGATGCCAAAGTCCCAGGAAGTGTTTCATTCGATCGATTAGTCAGAACCTACTAGACAACACCTAACAATAATAATGCCTAGGATATCGACCTCCCAGTATTGTTTCATTTCTTACAGTTCCCGGGTTTGTTTGATTCCCTCCACCTTTTGAGTACCAGTGGGTATGTGCGCTGCCTCTTCTCATTTTGAGTAGTGCCACAACACGAAGCGAGGGTCTTGAAAGCTTCCCTTGAATGCATGTCATTAAGGTCAACTCTGCTTTCAGAAGGCAGCTCTTCCCCAATTTTATCGGGAGTGCCTTTCAGCCTGAGGGGCTCCTCTGCCAACACGCTATGTCAGACAGTGTTCCACTGCTATTCATGACCCTCACACTGACTAGTTTGCTCTGCTTTTTTGCTTTTTCCTTTAAGAAAAAGAAATCCAGATCACTAGGTTTTGATTTCTAGTCTGTCTTAGTCTGGAAGCTCACAACACCACAGTGTGACAATTGACACACAAGTGGTGGATTTCTGTTTTTAAAAAACCCAAATCTGTTCTATTAAGTCCATTCTGACCCTTAGCAACCCAAGAGGATAAAATGGAAGTGCCCAGAGGGCTTTCAAAATTGTCATCTTTATGGAAGCATCTCTCCCAAGGAGGTGCTTGTGGGTTTGAACTACAGAGCTTGTGATTAGCAGTGGAACACTTAACCACTGCGTCATCAGAACTCCCTGGGTTCTCATTTAGAAGACTTTAAATATGAACTGGAAAACAGGACTATGATGGTCTAAATAAATTTTCAAGTCTTAAACTTTTAATTTTAATGTTATACCGATGCTTAACATGTTAAATTCATAAAACACTTTACCATAGCACACAAATTGTCACAGCAATACTGGACATTGGGCTGCCTGTCAAAGAGGGATAATGTTGATGCAGCCTTGGTTAAAACGCAGGTCTATTTTCATGCTGTTTATATCCTAAGATATAAAAATACTTTACATTTTCTGTCTTAAGATTTTATGGCATTCATAAAAAACTCTGAGCTTATAAAAAGAACTTAAATGTTCAGTAATTTTGAGGGAAAAGAAAATTCTGATATATGCAACATTTTTAAGTTTCTTAAACAGATTGAATTTAATGAATGATCAATTAAAGAGCAATTAAGTAAATTGATCAATACATTTGTCAGAGTAATGTTGAGCAAAATACCTAAAACAATCCACATCTCAAATAGTTAGCTTTATGTTAAATAAATAATTTATTTACAAAATTATACAGTAGAATAAATTCACGCATGAAAGACAATACACAGCAATTCAAGTAACTTAATATGCAGGATCACAATACGACTTTTCATGAATAACATTTCTTAACCATTTTATTATTATTTTACCTAAGAATATTGTATTTTACAGTTACGATATCACACTAGTGGAGAGAAGCTGCAGTGAGTCATTGAAACTCTTTGGAAATATAGAACATTATGTAGTGGTGACAATTGATGAACACACTGCCATAATTTTGCAGGTAAAGCTATATAATAAAAAATATAAACTCAAATGTATTATAAATACTAATATACTCATGTAATTTCTTTTTTTCACTTTTCTGCAGAAGGCCTGTCTATACTCTATTAGTTTTTCTCTCCAACACTTTGCAATCGCTACCCTAGAGGACGAAGTAGAACTGACTCGTAGGGTCTCTTAGCTTGGGATCTATAGAAAAGCTACTGCTACATGCTGACCTTTAAGGTAGCAGTTAAACAAATGGGCCATACGAGCTAAAATGATCACTTTGGAAAATGACTATTGCCAATCTCCTTTGATGTGTTATAATTTTAAACATGTTTTAAATTTAAACAGCAAATATTTAATATTTTATTGTATTTGCCTGTTTTGAAACATATTTATAGAGTAACTATAATTTTGAAAGTTTTAAAAATCAAATTTTTTAAAGTGGGTAGAATATGAGTTGATGAGGGCAGTGGTGATTCAGCAGTAGAATGCTTTATTTCCATGCGGGAGAATCTGTTTTGATTCCTGGGCAATGCACCTCAAGTATAGCCACCACCTGTCTGTCAGTAGAGGCTTGCCTATTGGTAAACAGGTTTCATCAGAAATTCCAGACTAAGATAGACTAGGAAGAAAGCCTGGTTATCTACTTCCCAAAAATGAAAACCCTTTGGATTACAATGGTCACCATGATCTGATCCTGTTGAACATGGGGTCTCTCTGAGTCAGTAGCCAACTGGCAAGCAGTTAACAATAGGAGCCTTAGTGGTTTGGCGGATTAAGCATTGGACTCCTATCCAAAAAATTGGCAGTGCAAATCCACCAGCTGCTCTGTGGGAGAAAAATGAGGCAGTTTGCTTCCTTAGAGATTTACATCCTTGGAAACCCTGAAGAATAATGCACTCAGTCCTAAGAGTCAGGATCTATTTGACAGTAGTGGGTAGTGAGAACAACAACAAAATTAAGTGATTGGCTGTGGCTACAATGTAAGTCAGGATTGCCTCTAATTAAGTTGGTTTTTGAAAAGACAAAAGAAGTTCTCTCCAAAAACTTATACAGATTGGAAATTCAGAGAATCAATTCTTGGCTGAAGCTCCATAAGTTTTCTCTTGAGTACTATTTACAAAACAGTTAATTTGATGGGTTGTGATTGTGCATAAACAACCAAGCTTGACAAGTTTGAAGTATGAATGAATGGTAAATGTTTTGGTAAAGTTCAAGTCTGCATTTTAAAACCTACCTTAAAAAATAATATGTATTCATGGGAAAAAAACAGTAGCAATTCCTTCTTGGGAAATCAACTAAATGGTACTTTCTTTATCTTCCTTAAATATACATGCGGTGAAGATTACACTATTGGTCTCTAAGTATATTTTCAATTGCCTTTAGGATTGACCAGATCCCTAGCCAGAAAAGACCTTGCCCCAAGATGGGCACTTGTAGTTGGTTTCTTCATATCTGAGACTTCAGGAGATCCATAAGCCTTCTTTGCTGAAGTTATTATTAACTGTTTTATATCTACTCTAGCTTTATTCAAAATTTTTACAGTTGTGATTTTTTTTATTCCAATGAAATGGGAGCTCACCCATAGGAATCATTCTTAGGCAGGTATGGAATTGGATTTTCCTTCCTTCTGTAGCCTTAAGAGATCAAGTGCGACCCCACTGTTGTTTCCTCAAATTGTTAAAATTAATGAATTGTTTTTCTTTATTTTCTGATAGGATTTAGAAGAATTGAATTATGAGAAGGCATCAGATATCATCATCATGAGACTAATGGCACTATCATTTCAGTACAGCTGTTGTTGGATAATTTTATATTCAAAAAACACCTTGGATTCAGAGTAAGTAAATATTTTCTCACCTAAGTCATGTTCTTATTTCTTAAATTATTTAATCATCTTCAAATAGAAATTACTATGCAAATTTTCTGCTTGATCATCTAATTTGTTTTAAGTTAGGAATTTTCAAGGAAGTTTAGGCTTGCTTATAGGAAAACAAATTGCAATCTGGATAAGATACATATTTCCTTGGATATTCTGTGCAAATCCTTACCCCCAACTTATTAAGAATTGCTGCCTTACGTGTTTCACTTATTAATTTGTAATTCTGGAGTTTTGTTAGAATTATTTTTATTAGATCATTTTATCTAGTATCTTGTTACATTGCATGATGTTACTCGTTCTCTCATTGATGTGCTTATTTGAAAAATTACCCCAACATCCATTCTAAGACATTGGCTTGAGTTATCATTATATGTCTTTCCTTTTCCTCACCTCTGAACTTTGTGAGAGCACTGCTTCTACTTTATCCTTATTCTGTGCTGATCCCTGTCTTTCAGACATCACTTATGACTATCTTACTTGTCATCTTCAAAGAAACTTTTACCTTTGACTGCCCGGAAATATGTAATATTGCTCTCAGTGCTTTCTTCCTTGAAACTCTTCAGTCAGAGGACACTTGCTCTACCTGACCACCCTTTCTCTGTGTGCGCCTCTTCTTCCTTGTTCCCGCCTCCCCGTGCCCTGTAATGAGTTCGCTTCTTTCTCCTATTGTATCCATTGGAGAGCTTTTCAATTCTAATTGTTTCAGCCATTATCTCTTTGCATACAATTATTACATTTCCTTCTGCAGCTGCATTCTCTTTTCAATTCCTAACTTGCACTTCTGATTTCCTATGAAATAGTAATATCTTGATAGTCCACGGTATCTCAAATTTGACATTTATATAGGAATTCGCCCTATTTTCTATAGTCCTCCAAACTTGTATCTCCTTTTATCTTCCATTTAACTACTTAAAACAGTGGTTCTCAACCTTCGTAATGCCATGACCCTTTAATACAGTTCCTCATGTTGTGTTGACTCCCAACCATAAAATTCTTGTCGTTGCTACTTCAGAACTATAATTTTGCTACTGTTATGAATCTTCATTTAAATATCTGATATACAGGATGTATTTTCATTGTTAAAAATGGAACATAATATAATTAAATCATAGTGATAAATCACAAAACAATATCTAATTCAGTATTGTGAAATATTTAGCTGTTTTCCAAGGGCCCTAGGCGATCCCTGTGAAAGGGTCATTTGACCCCCAAAGGTTGAAAACTGTTGACTTAAAACTTTGCCATTCTTTTAGTCACCAAGACTAGAAAGCAAATTTTATAGAGCTGAACATTGGTTTTTTCTTTTATCTATTCCTTCCCTTCCATTTGTATTACCAATACCTAAGTTCAGTTTCTTCTAATTTTATATGTGGAGTATTATAGCAAAGTACTAATCATTTTCCCACCTCCCCATACTTCTCAGTGCTCCTTTGTATCATCTGTTGTATTCTCAATATTTCTTAAACCAGGTTTTAATCTGATTTAAAAGAGAAAAATAACCTTTCATTAATGTCTTCATTTCTACTGAATACATACATGTACAAGAACTCTCACCTCAGTATTGAAGAGCTTCAGAAATACAGTCCCAACTATATTTTCAGACATAATGCTCCCTGTTTTCCAGTTCCACCAACTCTCACTGCCATTGAGTTGGTGGTGATGCATAGCAAGCCTGGAGGGCAGGTAGAACTGTTCTGGAGGGTTTCCAAGACTGAAACTTTTTATAGTAGTAGAACGTTTCATCTTTCTACCATGCAGCAGCTGGTGGGTTTGAAATGCTGACCTAAGGTTAGCAGCTCAGCTCATAACCCATGTATACTACCAGGCTTTCTAATCGTCCAAAGGGCTGCCTATTGTCTTATGAGCAATTTCTTTACTTTCTCACTTCCTTATTATGCATACATTTATTTCTTTTTGCAATATTATCTGCTGCCTCTAGCATTTTCTTTTGGTTCAGTGTTGTCTATTTTCCAGGACTCAAATCCAGAAATCACTTTTCAATACAAACTTTCCTAAGCAACCCTAGCCCATGCACACAGCACTTTATTGAGATGTGACCTGTCTATACTTTGAATTCCTTAGCTTTTTCTTTTATATTGATCACATTTGTTTTATATTGAATGATTGGTAATGAACCTCTCTTACTAGCCTCATATTTTTATATCCTTACAATGGCATATACATATACATCAGTCATAATAGAAGTTTAAAATATATTCTTTAATATTCAGACATGGTCGTATCTTCTTTGACCTTATCTGTATGATCTTTCCTTTATTGACTTTCCTATATGATTCCATTTTTATTAACCTCCTATGTCAGGTTCTTTGTATATAATATTATCATGTTAGGATAAGGAAAAGTTAGAATGTAGGAACCTAAACACATTGATTCGTAATCTTCCTTCTATTAGCAAGTAACCTCAAACAAATCAATTAACCTAGTTTTGCCTTTTTTTATGCAAAATAAAAATTATCTAAAACCTTTATGCTGATGACCTATGAAGGCTATAAAGCATGTAAGAAATGTTTTCTTAAGCATATAAAACTCCTTGGAAGTGCTCTGGATAAGTAACTAGGTTTGAAATGTTTTCAAAGTAGACGGTCTCTAATAACCACAACCACAACGACCATCCTTGCTGGTATATGGTGCTACTTGTCGGGCTGCTAACCACAAATGCACATGTGGCTTTCAGTGCCTGTAAAGATTCATAGCCTTGGAAAGTGTTGGGGCTAGTTCTACTCTGTCCTATAGGGTCACTATGAGTTGAAGTCGACTCCATGGCAGGGAGTTGAGTTATTTATTTATTTAATCCTTCTGTGATTTTTGTAGTGCAAATGAAGTACAGGAGAAAAACAGAGATGATGTCAACTTATTCGTACTCAACTTTTTCATTTAAAAATACTATACAGGCATGTACATATGTAAATATATATATATATCGATAGAGAAATATATGTACATATATTTATATGTTAAGTGTGAAGGTAGCAGATAGACACTGGGCCTCTACTCAAGTACTCCCTCAATGCAAGAACACTTTGTTTTAATAACCTGGCATTCTGTGATGCTCACCTTCCCGACACGATCACTGAAGACAAAATGGGTGCATAAGCAAATGTGATGAAGAAAGTTGATGGGGCCCAGCTATCAGAAGATACAGTGTCTGGGGTCTTACAGGATTGAAGATAAACAAGCAGCCATCTAGCTGAAAAGCCACAAAGCCCACATGGAAGAAGCAGACCAGCCTGTGTGATCATGAGGTGTCAATGGGATCAGGTATCAGGCATCAAAGTCCCAGAACAAAAAATCATATCAATGTGAATGCAGAGGGGAGCGCAGAGTGGAGACTCAAAGCCCATCTGTAGGCAATTGGACATCCCCTTACAGAAGGGTCACAAGGAAAAGACAAGCCAGTCAGGGTGCAGTATAGCACCAATAAAACATAGAACTTTCCTCTAGTTCTTTAATGCTTCCTCTCCCTCCCCCCATCTTGACTCTAATTCTACCCTACATATCCAGCTAGTCCACAGCATGTACACTGGTACAGATAAGAGCTGGAAGCACAGGGACTCCAGGACAGATGAACCCCTCAGGACCAGTAATGAGAGTAGTGATACCAGGAGGGTTAAGGGAAAGGTGGGGGGAGATTGGGGGAACCAATCACAAGAATCAACATATAACCCCATCCGATTTATTACAGTAAAAGGATACAAAGCAAATTCAGCAAAAGGAAAAAGCCTATGAGGCAATATCTGGAAGAAATAAGGATACTCTCCATGAGTGTGACAGCATGTGTAAGATATTGCCTATCTGGGAAGCACATTAGACACTCAGCTGCTAGGGTTTTTACTGAGGGCCAGCCACATAGGTACCCTTGCCTAGCATGTGCCAAAATTCCTGACTCCTAGAAGTAAAGCATATGTTCAGCACAAACCAGTATTTTCGCATAAATAGTTAAAGTACCGTGAGCCACTCTTGTCAGGGAATAGTGATATTTCTTTTGAAATTCAAGTTCCCAAAACGAACCAAGGCCACCTTCCCAATAGACTTCCAAAAGATAGCAGTCTCAAGCTTGCTATGTGAACTCTTTTCTGCACAAGGAACATGTACAAATATAATTCAAGGACACTGTAAAACAGTATTGAAATTTCTCCTCAAAATAGATCACTAAGTAGACCCAAAAAAAGATTAAAGATATCCGTACAGACATTACTTAGAATCATGCTTCATTGAGTCCTTAATATGTGAGGATGGCATTTATACTTTCTATTTTTCAATAGAACAAATACATTAGAATTTTTCTTTAGATTTTTCTTTAAATCTAAAACTACTACTTGCATAATGATTAGGTTCCAAAGACCAAGTTATTATGTGAAAATTAGCACTAGATGAACATACCGGATCACATTAGCAAAGATGAACATACCGGATCACAGAAGGAAGGGTAATTACATTATTATATAACTACCAAATTACACCAACACTTAACTGCTAAGTCACATCATCTCAGAGCTGCCAATCAACTGAGTATCATGGCCAAGCCATATCGATACATAAACGTAACCATCACAATCAGTGTTACTCTTGCCTCTTACCTCAGCATTCATTAAGTATGTCACTAATGTCCCAATACTCAGATAGATGTTTCACTATTGCATAAATGAAAATGTTGGATGATAAAATATTTGATAAATGAGGAGTATTGCAGTAAATTTAGAAACTAGTTGTATTAGAAGGATCATTGGTGGCATAGTGGATACACATTGGCTGCTAATCACAAGGTCAGCAGTTCGAAGCATTAGATGCTCCTTAGGAGAAAGACAAAGCTTAGTTTTAGAGTTAGTTTTAGAAACCCACAGGGCCAGTTATACCCTGTCCTATATGGTCACTGAGTTGGAATTGATTCAATGTTAGTGAGTTTTGTTTCTGTTTTCTTGTTTTGTTTTTCGTTATATTAAAACTCCTTTGGCTGGAATCAACAGGATCCCACTTTAGCCTAAGCAACAAAAAGGGAATTTACTGCTTCATATTACTAAAAATTGGGAGGAAGGCAGAGCTAGATCCAGGAACTGATTGCAATAACTGCTCTTTCTGTTTCTAGATTCTTCTTTGGGTTGGCTTCTTTCTCAGACATACTTTTTTACATAAGGTTGTGGGAATAGTTATCCACAGATCAAGACTCGCATCCTGCCTGTTTAATAAGCTTAGAAGGGGTTGGGGCTGGGGGAGTTTTTCTAACAGTACAGGAAAAAGCTCCAGGAAGGATTTTAATTAGGCTAGCTCGGGTCATGTGACTGACGCTGTTACTTTGGTAGGGGAGTGGAATATTCTAGTCTTTAGTCAAATAGACATTGAAGCCCTGGTGTTGCAGTAATTGCGATGTTCAACTTCTAATCAAAAGTTCAGTGGCTTAAAATCACCAGATGCTCTAAGGGAGAAAGGTGTGGCAATCTGCTACCATAAAGATACGCAGCCTTGGAAAACCTTTGGGGGCAGTTCGCCTCTGTTCTATAACATTTCTGTGGGTCAGAATTGGCTTGATGACGAGGAGGTTGGTTTTGATTTGGTGGGGCCAAGAAGGGGCTAGTTAAACTGCTCTCCCACACCCACTTCCTCCCAGTACCCCATAGATTTAACATTGTTGCCAGAGTGGCGGTGCAAATGTTTTGAAAAGGGTGCTGGGTACACAAGCAAACATGAGTCTATCACACTCACATTGTCTTCACCTCTTTATTCTTATAAACACAATGGAATGTGGAAAACTGCACTTTAAGAAGTATAATCAAATGTCAAAAGAGTAGATATATTGTAATATAATTCTTTTTAGGTATCACCTTACAGAAAAGACACTTCATCACCTGGCCCTAATTTATGCAGCTTTGGGTTCATCTGCCCTAAAATCTGAACAACTGGATGTAAAGGTATTCTTTTGCCTTATGTTTATTCATGAGTATTTTTCATAAATCAACATTATACTGAAACTTAAATGCCTTGTAAGAAGAATCAATAATGTACACTGGTACAGATAGGAACTGGAAATCCAGGGAATCCAGGGCGGATGAGACCTACAGGACCAGTGGTGTGAGTGGTGAAACAGGGAGGGTAGAGGGAGAGTGGGTAGGAAAGAGGGAACCGATTACAAGGAACTATATGTGACCTCCTCCCTGGGGGACGGACAACCGAAAAGTGGGTGAAGGGAGATGTCGGACAGGGAAAGATATGTCAAAATAACAATTTCTAAATTATCAAGGGGTCATGAGGGAGGGGGCAGCGGGAAGGGAGGGCAAAAATGAGGACCTAATGCCGGGGGCTTAAGTGGAGAGGAAATGTCTTGAGAATGATGAGGGCAATGAATGTACAAATGCGCTTTACACAATTGATGTATGTATGGATTGTGATAAGAGTTGTATGAGCCCCTAATAAAATGATTTTTTTAAAAAGAATCAATAAGTGGTTAAATTAAAAATTGCCAAATGAAGACTAATTTTTTTAAAAGAATATTTTATTGTGATTTAGTGAAGGTTTACATGATAGTTTAGTTTCCCATAACAATTTCTACATAAATTGTTTAGGAACATTTGATACATTCTTCACAACACGTGAGCATTCTGAGTATTTCCATTCTGGTTGTTTGGATAAGACCTGTTTAAAATTAATAAATATTCTTATCAAATACAGTTCTGTCCTAAAGATTTACTTTTATGAATTTAAAATATTATTTTATCTCTTGATGACTACTTAGATATTTTTGAAATATGATAGGATGTAAACAAAATAAATATCTCTTGATAAAAACTGTTCACTTATGAAAGATGTACTCAGTTTATATCATAGCATGCGAAAGGGTATTTATCTTAGTGGTCTCTAAACATTCTCCTTTATTGGCCCATTTTCAATATTCTGCTCTGAAATTCAGACATTCCTTTAAGTTCAGGAATCAGTTCTCTTCTGTTCTCACTTCACACTTTTAGCAAGCACCATCTTATGCTCAAGCACCTGAAGAGTCTAACCACGGAGAAAGGATTATTAGGAAGCTTAAGTACATTTTCCTTAACTAAAATACCCACCCCTGGGGTTTCAATGGCAACTAGTGCGGAGTCGGCTGAGGCCCCGCTACGGGGGAGCTTTGTGCGGGCTTTGGAGAAGCGGGATGGCACAGTGTTGCGACTGCAGCAAAATGGCTCTGGCGGTGTGGGCGGCGTGGGTTGGGATGCTGCCATTGTCCTTTCTAAATACTTAGAAATGCCCGGGTTTTCTGGCGACGGTACCCACGCCCTCAGCCAGCGGTCGGTGCTGGAACTGGGCTCCGGCACCGGGGTTGTGGGGCTGATGGCCGCTACTCTCAGGGTAGATGTTGTAGTCACCGACCTTGAGGAGTTGCAAGAGTCGCTTAAGATGAATATTAATATGAACAAGCACCTTGTCACAGGTTCTGTTCAAGCCAAGGTACTGAAATGGTGAGAAGAAACAGAAGATTTTCCATACTGATGGCTGACTGCATATACGATGGAGAGTCTTTGGAGCCATTGCTAAAACCCTAAAAGATCTCAGCAGATCCAGACTTGTATAATATGTTGTTATGAACAATGAACAATAGGGGAAAATCCAGAAATCGAGAAGAAATATTTTGAGCTCCTTCAACTGGACTTTCATTTTGAAAAAATTCCTTTGGAAAAACATGATGACGAATATCCAAGTGAAGATATTCATATTTTATACATCAGGAAAAAAAATCGAAATTTCTGTCATGAAGCCTTTAGCCTCATGACCACCTGGACAATTGAAGAAGTGAATGAAGCATGTGAATACAGCATGGGGAGATTCTGTCCACAGATTTTCCCAGCATGCTCTCAAGTATCCAGTACACACATGGCAACTTCCACGGACTGCCTGCATGAAGCAAACAACTGCCTGCCTGCCGCTGGGCCTGACCCCACCGCAGGTTCCCTAGCTCAGCGTAGCCTTCTGCTTAAAAGAAGTGTTAGGGACTCCTTCACTTCTCAAGGAAAGACAGGTATTGAAGTTAGCTTGAAGTCTACCAGAAATGAATGTTGAAGGAGCCCCTGTTTAACTTTGCATATCTTGAGGAAATTTGGGATAAATCAAATTTCTGGATAGATAAGCCAGCAATTTTAGTTTGTATTCAGTTAAAAAAATTTTTTAAAGTTTGATTTTATACACTAGGCAGCATTTATCATGTGTCTTCCACTCCATTGCTTTTTAAATAGCTGTAATACTTGTGTTCTTTTATTTTAAAGAGCCAAACACGTTGTTTTATATAGTTATGCCGACCAAAGTATTTTTTCTTCTACCATACATGTCTATGTGATTCAGATAGTAATTATACTGTGACTTCTTGAGAAGGAAATAGGAAAAATGGAGTTTTGGAGTGGGAGAGAGGTATTTATATAATTTGTTTTTTTAAGTCTAGAAAGCTCAGTTTTAGGCTCATACAATTTGCTTAAATTGCACAAAATGTATTTCAATTATGAAACACATACATAAATACATGTATGTATTTCCAGGAAAATTTGACTAAAAATATGAGCATGAAGCTATCTTACTATATGAAACAGTAAGAGGCTTGTTAAGTTACTATGAATGTAGCTCAATAGGAATTTACCAAGTGATTTTGACTCGATAGTCTCTGTTAATGTGACAGTCAGTTAGCTGTTCACATAGTCTATTCTGTCAAAGACTTCAATTCCTGACCCCCCCCCGCCTTCCAGAGTGATAGTAACCTGATAGAATTCTGATGTTTATAGGCATTGGTATTAGATGGCACATTTTATGTGTTAAAATAAACATTGATTTTGAGACATATGATTTTTGTGAATGTTCAGAAATAGCTTTGAAGAAAAATGAAAACCCAAAGCATGTGACTGCTTTCAAGAAAGTTCCAAGCATCCCTATATAGAGAAATATGAGAAGAGTTCTTTGTTTCACTCTTACTTCAGTATTAAAAGCTCTTTTGCTTAAAAAATAAAGTAAAATTAAATTCCCACTCCTTACTTATCAACATGATTAGATTCCAAAGACCAGGTCATATTGGATAATAAGCATTATGCAAAAATGGAAAATTACCACATCAGATCACAAGATGAAAGATGGCTACATCAGTACATAATTGCCAAATTACATCATTAGTACAAAACTGCCAAACCACTGGGACTCATTCCCCAGTCAAGTTGACACTGAATCTTAACCATCACAGCCTGGTACTCTCACCTTGATCCCTGGCCTTTGTTACTGCCAGATATACATTGTTAATGTGCAAAATAGTCAGTAGGTCTTTTTACTATTGTTGTAGATTTCATAATGAACACTGTAGAAAAATGCATAAGTACCCACACAAAAAATTTTGAAAACAATTGTTAGGGGCTCTTGGATCCCTAAAGTCTAGTCACAAGTCTCAAAATCCTTGCCCAAGTATATTAAAGTGATAATCATTACCATGGTCATCAAATCATGCTTTTAAAAATAAAATTTATATTTCAATTAAAATGGCAAAAAAATAAAATAAAATGGCAGATTTTCTCAAAACATCCAAAACTTAGCAGTAACTAAATTTGTAAATAAACGGTACATGTATGTGCACTCTGTACATTTTAATATTTTTTTAAACCTTAGAATAGCTTTACTTTCCAAGTGTGTGCTAACATACTCTATTAATCTTGTGAAATAAAAATAATTATTTTGTGAGCTTGGGGCAGTTTTTGTTTCTTAAGTTTTTACACCTGGCAGGATAGTTAGTTGCATTTCTAAAAAAATGCTTGTTCAGTGCAATATTTCTCTACCATTAAACTGCTATATATAAACTACCTTTCCTTCATTCATATTGTTAAAAATGAGGGGGATCAGACAACCGAAAAGTGGATGAAGGGAGATGTCGGACAGGGCAAGAAATGACAAAATACCCATTTATAAACTATCAAGGGCTCATGCAGGAGGGGGGAGCGGGGAGGGAGGGGAAAAATGAGGACCTAATGTTGGGGGTTTAAATGGAGAGAAAATGTTTTGAGAAACGATGTACAAATGTGCTTTACACAATTGATGTGTGTATGGATTGGGATAACAGTTGTATGAGCCCCTAATAAAATGTTTAAAAAAAAAAAATGAGGGGGATCAGAGCAGAGACCTAAAACCCATCTGTATACAATAGGACATCCCCTCAAAGAAGGGTCACAAGGAAGGGATGAGTCAACCAGTGTGCAGTATAGCACCAATGAAATACAATATTCCTCTGGTTCTTTGAGGCTCCCCCCTCCCCCCACTATCATGACCCCAGTCCTGCCTTTCACTGTGGGATAGACCGGAGCATGTACACTGGTACAGATAAGAGCTCATAATGCACAGAATCCAGGTCAGATAAACCCCTCAGGAACAGAAATGGGAGTAGTGATACCAGGAGGGTAGGGGAGAAAGGGGGAACTGGTCGCAATAATCGATGTATAACACCCCCCAGGGGGATGAACAACAGAAACGTGGGTGAAGAGAGACAGCAGTCGGTGTAAGCTATGAAAATAATAACATAATTTATCAAGGGTTCGTGAGGGTGAGAGGTTGGGGGAATGAAGGAAAAAAGAGGAGCCTGATACCCAGGGCTCAAATAGAAAGTGTTTAGGAAATGATGATGGCAACATATGTACAAATATGCTTGATACAATTGATGTATGGATTGTTATAAGAGTTGTAAGAGAAAAAAAAAGAGTTGTAAGAGGTCTCAATAAAATGATCTTCAAATTAAATAAATAAGTAAAAGATGAAGAAGAAAAAGACAAAAGTCTTAGAGGAAGACAAAGTCTGATATTTCAAAAGGCAGAAGGAACTAAGGAAATATAAACATGTGACAGATATGAAATAGAGAATATTAAGAAATAGTTTTTTACAAAATGTGTACAAATTCTTGATTGGGAATACCTCATACTGTGTATTCTTTCTTCAAAAATACAGTCAATTTAAACTTTTTTTTAGAGTTAACATTAATAAATATTATTTTTGGCAGTAAGCAAAAATTGGGTGCAACAATTCTCTAAATACTAGGAATTGGTAGTCTCAATCAAAAACTTATTTTTATGTACAGCATCAAATTCATTATATAAGGATCTTTTTAAAATCTAACTTTTAAAAATCTTATAATTAAATTTTTTGGCTTTTGTTGAGAATTAGTATATTGAACCTAGAAAACAAAAAAATTAAATATTAGTGCTATTGAGATGGTTATTTCTTTGAATAAAGATTAAATATAACAGCAAATATATTTAAAAGATCTTTTAAAATTACCAAATGAAAGTGAAGAAAAACAATATAGTTTCAAAAATTGAAAACTACAATAATATTATATAAAGAAAGAAAGAAAACTGGTTACCCTCACAAATAAAATGTCTGAGATTTCACATAAATGAATAAATTGTATCTGAAATACTGTTTAAAGATCAGGCCAGTTATTTTATTTTCTCTTGAGCTGTAAGCATAAATTATTTTAATCATATATTTTGCTTCCTAATATTTCCAATATTCTAACATGAAAATATGTTTTTAGCCTATAATTGTAGCAGGAAGAGAAGAGGCTGCATTGATGATTCGGCAAATTGCTGACCACAATTTAATGACCTCCAAGAGAAAGCCTCATGAATGGTTGGATAAATCCTGGCTTGACGTTTCACCCTCCAAGGTTTGTTTCCTAAATGTAGAAATTAAAGCCATACATTTGAATGTTCTTTATGGCACCATCTTTTGTCTTATAATGGACAGCAATATGCCTTGGCTGTGCTTTTCCAGAATCACAGGTATTTTTCCCAATAGTTATGCTTACTACTGACCCTGCACGTTTAGCTTATTCTAGTGATGTCAATTTAAAAAACAAACATTTTCTAATAATTAAAGAGATGAAATAAGTAAATGTATTAAAGGATAGTGAAAATCTTATCATTTCATAGTTTCTCAATAGTTTACTTATGTAATTGGAATTTAAAGGAGGGTTGTGAAATACATACTTTTATAAATTATTTTTGTTTAAATATTTCCAAGTTCTTATACCAAAATATTCTAATTTCCTGTATTTTAAAATATATTTATATACCAAAACCATAAAAAAGAATGACATATCCTAAAGTACTAATATGGAATGATTAAGATATATTATTAAATGAAAAATGCATAACAACACGCATGAAAGCTATCATTTGGGCAAGTCAGGGAAATGATATTTAGATGTATTTTTTTGTACATGACTATATTTGGAAAGATATGCAAGAAAGACACACAGGATATAATAGCATTGGTTATCTTCAGAGAGGAGAAATGGGGGAGATGGGATGGAAAAGAGTTTTTCATTGTGTCTTTTAGTACTTTTTAATTTGAACCAGGTAGTTATTTTACATATTTAAAGAATAAGTAAGATAAAATACTCACAAATATTAAATCACAGAACTTTCTATCTAAACAGAACATAGTACTGTCAACAAGGGTAAAATACACTATTGTGTATTTGTATCCACTTTTTTTACTGTCTAAGCAAATTTCTATCTACTTATATTCTAATCTATTTACACTCTGATCAGAGAGGGTTGAAAAAGCTAGTGTGGTACAAAAATATATTAATGTAATAGTAGTAAATTTGGCTATTATATACCTAACTTTAATGAGATATTTCTGAAAATATGTAATTTTAGACTCAGAATCCATGTTGGTTGATAAAAATTCTTCCTAAATCCTTCACAAGGTTTTTCTGAAATGATAACATCTTTTAGATGCTATGAATATATATGGAGAGAGAGGGAATACATTCAACAAAACTAAATACATCTAGAATTTTATAACTAAGACCCCTTCCCAAAAGTTTGTTCATTAGAAAGCCCATCATTAGATAAAGGAATTATCATCCATTGAAGAGGATGAATTGTAATGAATTGTTTGGATGAGGGATTGGACTGAATGGAAGAACTTAATGTTCTTCCCAGTTCTGCAAGTATATGTGAACCTTTACTGCTTAAAAAATATCTTTCCCTTCTGGCCATATTTCCTGTCCAGATGTCCCAAATTCAGTGGTAAGTATCATTGCAAAAATTTGAATTAGCTAGAGTGAGTAAAATAAATCAGATCACTTTTAAAAGGCCCCTGACATTACTCCTTAAACTCTTTCCTAGGAAGAAATGTACTTACTTGATTTTCCATGTATCAGTCCATTGGTGGCTCAGCTCATGTTAAGTAAAGGGCTTTCATTGCACTGGATACTAATAGCAAGTCTTTGCCAACTTCAGAAGCTCCTCCCTGAAGTTCCAGAAAAAGTATTAAAGGTTAGTTATTTAAAATCCGCATTCTTATATGAGGTTATTTCCTTTCTACTTGATTATCTCTTTTTACCATGAATTTCAAAATAAAAGTATTCAATTTGGACTTCACATGGCAAAGAAATAATTTACTTCAACTAAATTTCATTTAGCATTCTCATAAACCATCAATCACATTATATATTTTAAGCTATCCTCATATTAATAATCCAGTACAGTTTATCACACTTTAAATTCTTTTAAAATGGTATTGTGCTTTCAAATATTTAATTATACACCCTCACATGTATTTATATTATCTTTTCCAGTCTTCATGCCTTTCAGTTAGAGTAGTAAAGAGAACTATGACCTGATAATACAAAACTAATTTTATTAAGGAAACTATATTCACGTTAACTGTGTAAATATTCTATGTAAGTAAATAGAAAAGTGTAAATTTGTCTTTTAACTGTGCCTACTTATGGTATGCTTTTATTATGAGTCAATATAATATCTGTGAATGAACTAACTCAATGAGATTATATCTCAATAGACTACCTTCTTTTATATCTATATATCATATAACTATCATATGCATCATACTTTTTTTACTGATGTCTCAATTAATGTAATTTTATTGGTATCTATTTTTTTAAATCATTTTATTGTGGGCTAGTATAACGCTTATCACAATCCATACATCCATCCATTATGTCAAGCACATTTGCACATTTGTTGCCATCATCATTCTGAAAACATCTGCTTTCCACTTGAGCCCCTGGCATCAACTCTGCATCTTACTTTTATATATGTATGCATCACAATGTATAGTCACATATTTTCTCATTGATGCTATTATTGAATTTATTAATTCTTATCTTTTTTAGCATTTTTGTAGCATCACGTCCTTATTCCAGATTAATTCTTCTTCCATGACAAAATCACCTCAAATTCCATCACCTCAGGAAAAGATGAATCATCCTAGTGCCTATACTTCTCAAAGTTTAACTTTCGGTTCTTCAGACGCTGTCATTCAGAAACGTGATGACTCTTATCAATATTCAGACTTTGGAGAGACAGTCCAAGAAGACACAAATACTGTTTCTAATTATAGCCCTTCCCTTATGGGACTAAGGGAAAAGCCATGCATTTCACCATCTGTGGATTCTTATAGTCAGACCCGCTCCTGGAAAGGCTCCAGTTATGACAGAAACGTAGTGCAGAATAACCCTTTTCTAATTAATACAGAATCAAAGAAAGAGACTTATCATCCCTTTCTAAATGAAAATGATTCAGAGTCAGATGTCTTTGGTTTGGGACTAACACAAATGGATTGTGAAACCAGACTGTTACCATCTTTTACTGGTCAGAAAATTGCTCCTAACTTTATAAATTATCAGGAAAAGAGGCCACATGAAGCAAAAGGGTCCACAAATAAAGAAGTATCTTCCCCTATCTTTTTACCAGAAGGCTCACAATTTCCACTTTGTTGGAATGTTAATAAAAATAAATGTGAGCAGAACAACTCATTCAACTTACAAGATGATGCATATGACAAATGGTACTCCCAGAAAAGTGATTTGTTCACTAACCAGCAAAAATATCCATCAGAGGAGTTAGAAGACTTAACATACGAAGGTTCAAAACCAGGGACTGAACAATCTTCCTGGAGAGAGTTACCATCTTCCCCCAGTTTGGATTTGTTTTCTTCATCTAATGCAAATGTAAATCTAAAGGAAGTTGACAGCCTGTATTTCTATCAAAGAACTGGAAAGCATGTAGGACAGAAAAGGTACTCGGAATCTTCGCCTGGTGCAGAAGTCCTGGGATCATTACCAGGTAACGTACTATCCAGTAGCTGACAAAACTACTTTTGAATTTAATTTAAAATAATAGAACCAACTTGAAATCAATAAATATAGATATATTGTTAAATTTTGTTTTAACAATACACTTAAAAAATTCTTTTGAACAATTTTTGGGTCAAAGACTAAAATAAAACTTTAAAAAAAAATTATTTTATTAGGGGCTCACACTACTCTTTCCTACCCACTTTCCTACCCACTCTCCCTCTACCCACCCTGTTTCACCACTCACACCACTGGTCCTGTAGGGCTCATCGCCCTGGATTCCCTGTATTTCCAGTTCCTATCTGTACCAGTGTACCTCCTCTGGTCTAGCCAGACTTGCAAGGTCGAATTCGAGTCATGGTAGTGGGAGCAGGGAGGAAACATTTAGGAACTAGAGGAAAGTTGTATTTTTCATCATTGTTACATCGCATCCTGACTGGCTAGTCTCCTCCCCAAGACCCCTATACAAGGGGATCTCCAGTGGTCTACTAATGGGCTTTGGGTCTCCACTCCGCACTCCCCCCATCATTCACTATGGTAAAATTTTTTGTTCTGATGATGTCTGATACCTGATCCCTTCGACACCTCGTGGTTGCATAGGCTGGTGTGCTTCTTCCATGTGGGCTTTTTTGCTTCTGAGCTTGATGGCCGCTTGATTACCTTCAAGCCTTTAAGACCCCAGACGCTATACTTTTTGATAGCTGGGCACCATCAGCTTTCTTCGCCACATTTGCTTATGCACCCATTTGTCTTCAGTGATCCATTTGACATCTCGTGATCACACAGGCTATGTTTTTCCATGTGGACTTTGTTGCTTTTGAGCTAGATGGCCGCTTGTTTACCTTCAAGCTTTTAAGACCCCAGACGCTATATCTTTTGATAGCCGGGCACCATCAGCTTTCTTCACCACATTTGCTTATTCACCTGCTTTGTCTTCAGCGGTTGTGTCGGGAAGGTGAGCATCATAGAATGTCAATTTAATAGAAGAAAGTATTCTTGCATTGAGGAAGTACTTGAGTAGAGGCCCAATGTCCTTCTGCTACCTTAATACTAAACCTATAAATAGAGGCTCATAGATCTATTTCCCCATCCTCATATAAATATATAAAATAAAACTCTTAATTATAGACCTGAAAGGAAATGTGCATATACCATATTTGTATGCAAATGACATGTGTGGTATGCCAGACTATTTTACTTAATTTTATAATTTCTACATGTTATATGCATGGGTGTATTATTTGAAAGAAAAATATGGAACTCTTGTGGCTATAAATGAGATTCAGCTTAACAATTAAAAATAAAATTACTAAATGAATCGGAAGCAGAAGGGTAAAGTCAACAAAATTAGACAAAAATTAATGAAGCAGAAAATCAGCCCTTGTGGGGAAGGGATTTTAAGTGACAGGCATGGATATTTACAAAGAGCTTATTATGTGACAGGCACCATTTTAAGCCTTTAAAGTGAATTGTTTAATTTAATGCTAACATCTCCACTAAGTAGATGTTACTATTCTGTTGATTTTTTTTGTTTGTTTTCTGAATACTTCATTTCTAATGATACTTAATCTATCTAATGATAGATTCAAATAATGATCATTTTATTTATTTTTCTACTAGTTGTAGCTTTTCTTTTTTTTTCTTCTTTTACTACATTGATCAGAACATCCAGGAAAAATAAAATTAAGTTTTAATGGCCACTTCCAGGAGCTCTAGTGGCATAGTGCCTCATTTGTTGGGTTAACCACAAGATCAGCAGTTCGAAACCACCAGCTGCTCTGTAGGAGAAAGATGAGGCTTTCTACTCCTGTAAAGAGTCACAGTCTCAGAAACCCACAGAGCAGTTCTTCTCTGCCCTGGAGGGTCTCTAAGAGTGTGAATCAAGTCGAGAGCAGTGAGTTTCGTTTTGTTTAGTCTACTGTGTTAGCGGTCAGGAGGCGAGAGAGTGGGAGAAGAAGCTTAAGCTACAAGGCTTTTGTTTTGTGTTGGCCCTTAGAGAAGCCTAGGATGGACTAGGCAATCTTTTATTTTTTTAATATATTATTTTTAGTGCAAGTTTACATGTCAAATCATGTTCCCATTTTAAAAACTCTTCAAACCCCCCTCATTTAATATAAAACAATGTCACTTTAGAAATAATGCTTTTTTCCATAATGCAGTTTTAGTCAAATAAACATGAATTATTAATGCCAGTATCTTCATTAGCACTATGATACATTTTGATTAATTTACTGGCGTTTCCATAGCACATAATTACTTCCAAATATGTTGACTGAAAACTTCTAAAATTCATATCAGTGTAGTCCTAGAAAATTTATCCAAAGCCATTGGCATAACTTCAAGATAAGTTTCCATTTGTTATGTAGGTTTTAAAATGGTATTCTAGTATTTCTCATCAGCCAAGCTTCCCCAAGGATGTAATTTTACATTGCATCCATGCATATACCCTACATCTTGGCAAGGGAGAAGGCAAAGCTTCTCTCTCCTGGGGTAGCTATACTACCAAGTAGTCATGTCCACGTGCCATCCACCATGAACAAGTAGTGGAAAGTGAAGTAAAAGGCAAAAGTAGCAATAAAAATGGAAACCCCCCTGTGGGCAAGCAACACAACTCATTGCCCTTGTTCAGGGAAGATGACTATCTCCTGGTGGCTACTCTAGATTTATTGGCATCAGGGAACAACCCTTCCTTCTTCATCCTATGACTGGAATGAACAGAGTTCTGGTTTCTTACAGGGCAATCGTCTTCCTTTAAGGTGCATACTTTACTTTGTGTCTATTTGTAACTATGGAGGTGGTGGTGGGGTGGGGGGCTGGAGGGGTGGGTTATAGTATAGCACATCCATGCACCCATCAGTGGGTTTTATTTGTTTTTCTAAGTACTGATCTCTTGAATATTTTTTATTTCTAATTTAACTGCTTTGTGGTTAAGTTATTACTTATTCTTTCCATTCATTCATTCATTCACTCATTCTTTCATTCTCAACTTTAGGAAGTATACACGGAATTTTTCTTATATTCCTGACAATACTAGCCACATCTTTTTTTAAATAATTTCATTGAGGGCTCTTACAATTTTCATTACAATCCATACTTCAATTATATGAGGCATATTTGTACATATGTGGCCATCATTCTTTTCTAGACAATTACTTTCTGTTGAGCCCTTGGTATCAGCTCCTCTTTGTTCCCCCTTCCCCACCTCGTGACCCCGTGATAGACTATAAATTATTGTTATTTTTATATCTCACACCGACCACTGTCTCCCTTCCCCCTCTAGCCACCTCTTTAAGAGTGACTTCCACTTCAGACACTTTGCCTTAATTGGGATTTATGGCATTTTATATTTGAATGACATGAATTCCTTTCTTAAGTAGAAATTATTAAGTAACTATAAAGGGTAAATTAATTTCATGAGAAAATGTATTAGTAGATTTATAAAAAGATTAAGGAATGTTAGAATTGACTGTATAAGGAAAAAATGTAGTTGCCATCATGCTGGTAGCTTGAATGGGCCATCATGGGAGTGTTTACACCACAGAAATTGACAAATGCTGTAAATCAGGCCTCCCCCAATCTGCTCTCAGAGATCAGGTGGTTAAACATTAATCAGCACACTATTGATGCCAACCCAACTTATTCCCTGGCTTCACAGGGAAGGACTAGGATCCTATCGTTAACATTCCTTGTATTTTATCTGATTATTCATTTGTATAATTATATTCCTAAATTGGAGTTCAATATCTATTTTCCAGATATAAATTTGCAGGTAGATTTTTAATACAGAACCCCTCAATGAAAAGAAGTAAGTCTTTGGTGATATGATCTCCCACAGAGAGTTAGAACAGCAAAAGCCAAATAATAGAAAGCGGTAGTCAGGTATAGAGGCCTCAAACTTAGAAAGGAAAGAAAAGAAAGAAGTGGAGGAGGGAAAGAGGAAGGGAAGGCGAGAAGGGTAATGAACAGAACAGCATGCACTCTCACCACCCAGAGAGAAATAGGCTTCTTCCTACAGCACACAGACCTGGCAATGTGTCTGCTTTAAGCTCGTAACCACCCAGCGTGAGCCACAAAGGCATATCTTCATGACAACTTGTTGGAAAACTTCAGGATCCCGGGAAGCCTGTCTAAATTGCTTCCCAATCCATTTTAGGTTATTTTAGTTCAAAATATTCAAACTGAATGGTGCCTTGATATAATGCTCTCATTTTATAGAAGAAAGCATTGAAATCAAGAAAGCTTTAACTGTACAAAGCATGAGCTCTAAAAATATGTATCCTGAACAGTAATTTTTATTGAGTCATTAGTTATGGGAGCATTAATGTTTAAAAATATGTAAGAATGTAATTTTATTTTTTTAACAATCATTTTATTGGGGGCTCTTACAGCTCGTATACAACAACAGTACGTCAATTGTGTCAAGCATATCTGTACATATGTTGCCATCACTGTTTTATAAACATTTAGTTTCTGTTTAAGCCCTTGTTATCAGGTCCTCATTCCCCCCTCCCTCCTCCTCATTTGATTTCTTTTTTTTAATCGTTTTATTAGAAGAATGTAATTTTATATAGCCATTACTTTATCCCAGTTGTTGAAATGTTAACATTTTGTAGATAAGTGACTAAGAAACAGGATCTATTTCAAAAGATTACAAAATAAAATAGGTATACAGTATTATTATCAGAAATAAAACAGTTTTCCTATTTTTCCCTTTTAATAGGAAAAGTACCACAACGCAAAAAACGCCGTTTAGTGTATGAAAAAGTCCCCGGTAGAGCTGATGGACAAACGCGGCTGAGGTTTTATGAATGAGGCAATGAAGAGTGCTAAGTGCGTTCTGCTGCTTCTGGTGACGACACAGTAACAAACATTATTTAAATTTGCTCACACATTAAGGAAAATGCAATTGCCATATCTTTTCACATACAATGGCTACATGTAAATAATGCACACCTGCATAGAGCAGGCATAGTGTTCATAGGAAACTAAGCACGAGAGCAGTTTGCCCTGTTTACAAAAAAAAAAAAAAGCATAGTGGGTGTGTTATTCCCCTAAAGATACAGCATTTTCTTGGGTGTTCTCTGTTTGATATTAAATTTTTCATCTGGCTTTACATTTTTTTAAAAGTAAAATAGTCTAATTTAAAGTAAATTAAAATAAAGTAAAAATATTCTAATTTAATGTAAAATAGTCTAATCTAGCAAGTAATATAGTTAAGATTCAAAATTTTAATTTAAAGTAAAATAAAAATAGTCTAATTTACAGTAAAATAGTCTAATTTAGCAAGTAATATAGTTAAGATTAAAAATTAAAAAAAAATCTTACAGATTCACATGAACATTACATTGCCTTTAAAATTAGCCAGCATCACAGGTTCTTGAATTCAGTCTGACCTTATGAGTCAGGAGGTGGAGGTGCCTATTCAACCCTCCACCACAAAGAAAATTAAAATTTATAGTGGAACTAAAAGAATTTTTCATTTAAACGGTTATCTTCCAAAACAAAAGATAAATTATTTTCAACCTATGTAATAGGAAAAGGATTTACTTTCCTACCAAATAGTGTCCTATAAGTTGATAAGAAAAACATCCTAATAGAAAAATTAGCAAAATATATAAAGAGACATATTTCACAGAAGAAACAAAAAACAGACAGTCAGCATTTGGCACACCTTTGAGCTCCGTGACTTGTCTTACAACTGCAAATTAGAGCAGTGAGCTACTACCTTTCACATACTGGATTGAATGGTTTAATGTGCATTATTCCAAAGTATTGTATATTGTTGGTCCAATGTTTTCAGAAGATAGTTTGTGAAATATCTACCAAAATACAAAATGTATGTTATCTTTTGATCCAATAATTAATATATCTAGGAATCTGTCCTAAAGAATTTCCAATTACACAGTGATATATTTTGCAGTTTATTTTGTAATCATTAACAATTGTAGACAATGGGTAGACAACACTGTAATAGCTTTTTTTTAGTAGTTCAATATTTTTATTTTATGAATAGTAACACTGAGCCCAGAATAGTGATATCAAACATGAAGGATGTAATTGTGCCCATACAATGACCACTGAGAAACTGTATCCTTCTCAAGTTTGTGAGACAAGAAATTATTTATTTCCTACTGTCTTTTTTTTTTTCAAATACTTTTATTGGGGACTCTTACATCTCTTATCACAATCTATACATTCATCCAGTGTGTCAAGCACATTTGCACATATGCCGCCATCATCATTTTCAAAGCATTCTCTTCCCACTTGAGCCCCTGATATC